AAAGTTAATAAAACAATTACAATAAGATACAGCAAATAAGTGTTGTTTAAGTTCTTTAAATTTGTTTTATTTTAATCACTCTACAGTTGAGAAGGTCTACCTTTTTTTGCAATTCTTTATATTTCTTAATCTTTTGCTTTCCATAATATAACTTTCAATAGCGGAACTCAAATTTTGCCCCTTTCCCCACAAAATATTATTTAGGCCCGCGCCACCAGGAAAGAAAAATTATTTTAAACTAAATATAGTTATTAAAAAACTGTTGCACAAATTTTAAAAAAAGTTAGGCCCTACAACTCAGGCCCCTTACCCTGCATTGCGGGGTTTTGCTAAGTGCGTCGGCCACATAACTTTTTGTTAGTAGGCGTTAAAAGCGTATTTTGTGTGAATAGTTCAGCCCTAGAGATTTCACAAATTTTTATTCCAACTTTTAAAAAATGGACTCGGTGCCGAGTATCCGGACCCGGTTTTTTTAGCCGGGTACCCGGAATCGGAGACTCGGCATAAAATGGTTCCGGCACATCTCTAATATATATATATATATATATATATATATATATATATATATATATATATATATATATATATATATATATATATATATATATATATATATATATATATATATATATATATATATATATATATATATATATATATATATATATATATATATATGTATATATATTAGAAGTAATGGAAGGTTTTTTATCTATACCCAGTGTGCGCATTTTTATTACAATTATTTTTGTTAACTAGTGGTATTTTAAAAACGCACTAATTCGTTATGAAATTAAAAACAAGTGGATTTTAAACATGATAGTGTTAAGGCCCAATACACAGCAATAAGAAATTTGTTAGATGTTTTTTATCTCATAAAGTTCACCCACTTCAAGCCCTGGCTGTTTTAACAGAGTTTGTACAAGGTTAGCTGAATTTTCTGGCTGACCATTATTCTTGTTAATCTCCTGCTATAATGTTGAGAGCTCATATAGCTGTAGCTGTTAAACTGGGAAATAAACTATTTAAAAAACCACAATAGAATAAAAATAGTATGGGAAAGATAAATCTGCTTCACTTTAAAATATCTTTTTGCAAAAACAAAATGAATAAGTTTCTAATTTTAAAACCATTTACATATAGACTTTTAAGACGAGCAGAGATTATTGTGAACTTGCAGAAAAAAATTAGACCATTAGCTGTTTCACACGCCTTGACTTTCATGAAGTTCAAGTTGCATTTTTCTCAGGCAGGTTTTTATTCTGAGTAATAAAATACTCAAAGAGAATAAATTTCTCTCTCCAGGGAATCACGGTTTTTGACCTGCGACATTTTTGATTCTGCAATTTTTAAAGTAAAACTTAATTTCATAAGTTTTGATATATATATAAAGCATACTAGTTATTAATAAGTTATTAATAATAAATATTAATAATTGCTATGCTTTTATTATTAACAGTTATTATTAATGGTCTTCTATGTTAATAATAAAGTATACATAAATAATTATTTATGTATACTTCATCAATAACATAGAAAACAAAGTCGGAGGGGCAGGTAAAAAAATGTCTAGAAAGTGGCTGAATTTGATCCATGGACTTTCTAAATAAGCTAAAGGTGCATGTGGTAATGAATAAATAAATATACGATATAATAAAAATAGTTATACATAAAAGTATATGCATGCATTGCATAGGTGTATTTATATAGGGACAAAATATTCCTGTTACATTAAAACATTTAAAAATATTACAAATAGATAGCAATTTTTTTTTAAAAACAAAAAAAGTATAGGAAAATCATTCTTTTTAATGTCAACTTAAAGCTGTTTTTTTTTTGCTCTGACTTATCCAATTTCATTCCTAAAAATAACAACTACCCTAAACAATAGAAACAAAAATAAAAACGGTACATAAATTATTTTTTTTCATTTTTGTATCATTTTTTAACAGAAAACAATATATATTTTTAAATAAAATTTAATAAGATCATTTATTTTACTTTTAGATGATTCATATGTGAAAACAAGTGGGTAAGTTGTTTTATATTTGTTACACTAAAATATATTTTTTAGTGTGTTAATTGTTATTTGTTTATTAACAATAACACATTCAAACTATATTTTTTACTATGTCATCATCATCATTATCATGATCATTATCATCATCATCTTCATTATTGTCATCACCATCATCATCATAAACCATTCGAGAGAGTTCATTGAGTTAGAATTAGTTGGTCTCTGCAACATTTTCTTCTTTTTAATACTTGCTTTTATTTTTCTCAGTAGATATAGGGTGGGTCAGAAATTGATTTTTTTCTTAAATACAGTTTAAGTATAAATATGCTGTCTTATTGGTTCAGTTACAAATCTGTAAATATTCTTTTTTTTTTTAGTGTAGTAGCCCGCGCATCAATCCCAAAAGTTTGATATAAATCTTTAAAAAAGTGCTTTAAAGCCACTACAGCGTAAACAATTGCAAAATTTACTTTGTAAACTAAAGGCATATTATTGTGTTACTATTAAGTGATATAGAATTATTGAGTCCACCTTTTATACTAATAGTTTTGTTATTATTACTTTAAAAGGGTACTTGAAGGTAGTTGTGTACGAATTGCATCATCTTCGAAAATACAATTTTCTCATTAAATATGGTAGCATTCTTAGGCGTCCTAAATACTGCTTTATTTGTTAAGACTTGTTTGGTTCAGTTGATACATTAAATAAAAAAGGTATTGATAACTCCTACTCCACATTAGTTATTAGCTATTGAAGTTGAAGCCTTTTCTTGAATGTTCTAATCATGCGATTAAATTTTCCTGTGTAAGTGACGATACCATTGTAGATAGTATGCGATAAAAATTTAAGAGAAGGTTTAATATGAACAAAACTTGCATCCAAAAAATATGCCCCAATTTGACAGTCAACAAGATTTTGTGGTCAAAACATAATCAGTTACTATGTTTATTGTTTATGCATTCTTTTTTATTTCTTCATTTTCTATTATTATATAGTTTTTCTTAATAAAATATATACATTTAAGCAAACATTTTTTTTTCCAAAATTTCCAAACTTTAAATCACATGCTTGGGCTAAAGATATGACTTTATTTAACTTTTTATAGATAATCTTTATTTGTTTAGACAACATAATATCATTACATAAAGGGGATATTTGATAGCATTATACAAACTTATGCACAATATTGACAAAACAAACATATGAAAATGTTTTCCACTTGTCAAAATTTCGTTAAGAGGGCATTGTTTTAAATACCATAAAGAATTTACAAAATATCCTTTGTGGGAACATTTTCTTTTTAACAGAATTTCAAATACATGTAACTTACTTCTGATTGAAATTGTAACAGCAAAGTCAGTTAATTATTTTAAATTATATATATATATATATATATATATATATATATATATATATATATATATATATATATATATATATATATACACACATTTATATACAGCGCTTGAAATAGTTTTCTGATCAAATGTAATTTTTTAACAAAAGCAGGTTATTTTCCCAGGAATTTTTCGAAATTTCCCTAAAAATAGCCGATCATTGATCGACCGTTATTTTGAGCGCTGTATATATATACATATATATATATATATATATGTATATATATATATGTATGTATATATACATATATATATATATATATATATATATATATATATATATATATATATATATATATATATATATATATATGTATATATATATATATATGTATAATATATTTATATGTATTTATTTATACATACATATATATATATATATATATATATATATATATATATATATATATATATATATATATATATATATATATATATATATATATATATAAATATATATATATATATGTATATATATATATATATATATAAACCAACAAAAATATAAATAAATAATTAAAACCCAAATAAAATTAAAACCCAACAAAACCAGTAATGTTTTTTTCATTACCTGATGACAGTGACCACAATAGGTTATATATATATATATATATATATATATATATATATATATATATATATATATATATATATATATATATATAGTATATATATATATATATATATATATATATATATATATATATATATATATATATATATATATATATATATATATATATCAGGCGCGGATCTAAGGGTTGGCCATTGTGGCCATGGCCACATAGTTTAAAGCCAGATTGATTTATTAAAAAAAAATTATTTAATGCTTATCAAAAGTCTTTTAGAGTTAGATATATTTATTAAGATATTTTTAAATATATGTAATTGAAAACGATTTTAGGACTTGCGTATCATTTTTCGTCGTTGATAAACTACGTCACGCTAAATTTAAATTTTAAAAACGCTGTAAACATCCGCTATATTATTTCAAAATTCTCTGCAATAGAGAGTCAATAATACTTATAAACTCTGCGTGACGTACTTTATGGATAACCCTTATCGGGTTATGGCCATAGAGATAAAATTTAACGGCAGCCAACTTAGCTTTGGGTTTCTTTGCTAGCGTAATATTCCTCAAAATTTCATTACGTCTGCCGTAATTTACGTAATTTGGCCTTAGAGATTCCTGCCATGGCCACAACGGCTCCTATTATACGTTACCGACCTTTTATTCAATCGATAAATGCTATCAAATAAATAATAAAATATAGATCTTTCAACCGTGAAAATTAAACTTGGCCACACAGTTGGTTTTGACGTGTCCGATTTAGAAAAATGTTCTCTTATATAGTAGCTAACTAATTTGGGTTTTTTATTCGTTACCGTAACATTTTCATTAAAATCGTCTTTAGAAACTAAAATAGCGTGACTTTAATAACTTGATTTTTTATAATTTATATAATATGAATCCATATTTAACTTAAGAACTAGTTGCTTGTGCAATAGAAACAAAGCATAGGCCTAATGTCTTAAATTACAAAACTAGACTCATTAAAGAGCTTTCGGAAATAAAATTAATGTTTCCAAGAATACACGATTCTTACCAATTTAACACAGATATGATGGATTTTGTACCCTTAAGTAAAAAAAATCTTGGTTATTCAGCATTGAGGTATTTTTTGTTTGTTTTGAGTTTTATGAAAGTATTATTTATTTAAAATAATATCACAAATTGGATCTAGATGTAAGATCAATGTTAGATTTTAATTTTATTTATTGGTATTTTAACACCAATAGAATATAAATCTGTGTTAATAATTAGTTAAACGTTTAACTAATTATTAACACAGATTTATATTCTTGATAATGAGTATGAAAATAAATTATTTATTAAACATACAAATAACCTAAAAAAAGTGATTTAGTTTTTTAATAAGAAATTATGGTATATACTAAAATGTAATATTAGTAAAAAAAAAAATATTTATAGTTGAACTATTTATTTTTTTGTTATTGATATTACATTTTAGTATATTATACTCATTATTATATTTTAATATATTTTACTATTTTTCTCAGATCTACTGAAGATGGAAATTGTCTTTATAGTTCAGTATCTTTGATTTTAAATGACAATAATCATACTTTGAAAATTCTAAGATTACTGACATCAATTGAGTTATTTGAAAACATAAATTTTTACACAAGGTATGATTATTTTTGTAGTTATTTTAATCAACATAGATCTGAATATTCTCAGCTTTCTAATTTGTTTTTTATTGCTGTTTCGTTTAAATGCTCTGACAGTTTTTCAACAATTAATGATAATATGATTTCTGAACTTCTGTTAAAAGAAGCGTATTTAAATTGCTTTGATAAAACATTTTCATCTTTCATTTGTCTAATAGCATTATCTAATGTTATAAAGCAACCTATTGAATCTATTTATCCTGAAATCGGTTTTAAAAAGTATCATAGTTTTTTTAATACTCTTATAAAGCCTCGCATCCAAAAATTAAATTGTCCAATAAATATTTTGTGGTGCAATTTAGATAAAACATAAAACCAAAGTATTTTATGTTTTAAGCCAAATCATTTTGTGGCACTGGTTAAAGATCTTTCTAAAAAACGTCCAGCTGTTGTTATGAGTGATCCAAGTTTACTTAGCATCAAAAAAATAAAAGTTTCTAAGTCTAGTTTTCCACCTACAGATAACAAAATACAGAAACCAATTCAGTCTAAATTGTTTTTCCCTACTGTTTCTAAAAACACTTCAGATATAGATAAGTCTAGTTTTTGTAATAAAATAGTAAAAACTGAAGTAGTTATCTCAAAAAACGCCAACAACAATGATAAAAAGCAAATGAATCTTGAATCTAATGTTCCACAAAAGGAAAGCAATATTGTTGACATTAGTTTATTAAATACAAATCAGCTAGCATCTTATTCAAACTATAATGTTTCATCATACTGTCTACAAGGTGAAAAATTAAAATCAGGAACAAATGATCATGAACTTTTATCTCTAATTAATAATGTCTGGGTTCCGGATAAATGTTTCCAATTCCCTTTAACAGGTAAAAGCAGAAAAAGACGTTTTTTGCTAAAATGGCTAGATGATTTTTCTTGGCTTTGTTACTCTAAAATTGAAGATGGTGCATATTGTCTTCCATGTACACTTTTTGGTATAAATTTACCAAACAAATATGCATTATGTAAATTGTTTAATGAACCATTTAATACCTGGCGTAATGCTGTAAAAGTTTTCAACGATCATGAGAAAACTGTTGACGGATTACACATCAAGTCCATGCATTGTTATAATATGCTTTTATCTAGAGCTAAAAATAATACTTTTCCTATTGAAGTTTCTTTAGATAGTTCTAGGAAACAGCGTAAAGAAGAAAACAAAAAAAAGCTTGAATCAATTGTTAAGACTATAATATTTTTAGGTCGAAGTGATATGCCTCTACGAGGTCATAGAGACGATAGAAAATATCAAGGAGAAATTTGAGAATCTTCAAAAAATACAGGGCTAGGTAATTTCATTGAGCTTTTAAATTTTAGGGTTGATGCAGGTGATTTAATTTTAAAGGAGCATCTTCTCTCTGCCCCCAAAAATTCCACATATATTTTAAAGACCATTCAAAACGAGTTAATTGAGTGTTGTGGAAATGCAATTGAAGAAGTTTTATTAAATGATATTTAAAAAAGTAAGTACTTTTCCATTATTGCAGACGAGGCTTCAGACTGTGCAACAATAGAACAACTTTCTATTGTCATACGTTATGTTGACTTGAACAGTAATATTAAGGAAGTTTTTTTACGCTTTTTTGAATGTAAAACAGGTACAAGTGGTTTAAGCATAGCTACCAATATTCTTGAAACTTTAAAAGAATTTGGTTTAGATATAAGAAAATGCAGAGGCCAGTCTTATGACGGAGCTGCTTCAATGTCAGATGAATACAAAGGTGTTTCATCTGTTATAAAAAATGTTAATCCTAAGGCATTATTTGTCCACTGTGCCTCACATAAACTTAGTTTAGTTGTTGGGAAGAGTTGCCAAATCCAGCAAGTAAAAAATTTGCTTGAGCAAGTTAAAGACATAACTTATTTTTTTAACTTTTCTCCAAAAAGAAGTAATTGCTTAAAAAATACCTTCTTCCTGGTCAAGCAAAACTTATTGACACATGTCGAACTCGGTGGGTACAAAAACTTCGTGGACTTGATGTGTTTTTCGATAATTATTCTGCAGTTTTTTCTGCTTTTGAAGAAATGGAAGACAATAATTTAAAAGAGTACAATAAAGAAACATCTTCAAAAGCATCTTCTTTTATGAAGTTATTGACAAATTTTTCTTTTATAGTTTCTTTAGTTTTAACTAAACAACTAATGGATTACTTTTATGGAATTTCTGTTACTCTTCAAACTAAATCTTTTGATATTTCCCAGCAACTGGATGAAATTCAGAATTTGACTAATCGTTTAAGAGAAATGCAAAGAAATGCTGATGCTTACCATAATAAATGGTATAAAATTGCTCTTGCATTGGCTAAAACATTTGATATTGATGAAAAAAAACCTAGAACATGTGGTGTTCAGAAGCATAGAGATAATCAAATATGTGATACTGTATCTGATTATTTTAAAGTTTCTATTACATTGCCTCTTCTCAATCACCTTCTCAATGAACTAGAAAATAGGTTTGATATTGAGAGCTTAATTGTTTATAATGGTCTATGTGCTATTCCTGCTAGTTTAACAAAGCAATATTTTAGATCTTGTCCATGGAAAGAAAAATTCCTAATTTTTTTGAATTTTTATAAATCTGATCTTCATTTCTCATTAATTAATGCTGAATTAGAGTTATGGGAGGAATTTTGGAAAGAAACGACAGAATTACCATCTACTGTTTCAGATACATTAAAGTTTATGGATATGAGAGGCTTTCCAAACATTTTAGAGGCTTTTCATATACTTGCTACAATACCAATCACAACTTGTGAGTGTGAAAGGTCAATATCTACTCTTAGGAGAATAAAAACTTACACTAGGAGTACTATGTCAGAAAATAGATTGAATGGGCTTGCTTTAATGTCTATTCATCAGGAAATAGTTCCTGATATTAACAGAGTTATTGAAATATTTGCATCCAAAGGAGATAAAAAATTAAAGTTTTTATTCAAATAAAAGTTTTGAAGTTATGTTTAAAGTATTAACTATTGTTTTAAAAGTATCTCTTAAATATAAATAATTTTTCAAAAGCAAAATATTTCTACTCATTGTTTTAAACATGTAAATTGTGAAAATCATTTTTCATTAGCAAATTATTATTATTCATTGTTTTATATAAACTGTGAAACTCAATACTTCATTTGCTATTTCAATTAATTCCTAATGTTGAGAGCGTTTTCAGGTGATTTAGGTTGTTACTTTTTTAGTTGTTACTTTATTTGTTGTATTATATTTTTTCTTGTTTATTTATTTATTAAAAAATAAAAGTAAAAAAAATTATAAAAATATTTAAAATATTTGTGCATAACTGCCTATCAAAAAAAAAAAAAGAATCCAGAAATGGAGGGCTAACCTTAAATAAGATTACTAATACTTAAGTTAAACTGTTTATTAAGAAAAGGAAATAATCCATAAATAGAGGAGTAACTTTAGGAAACATTAATAATAATTAACTTAAATTGACTATCAAAAAAAGGGAAGAACCAGAAATGGAGGGCTAACCTTAGGCAACATTACTAATACTTTACTTAATCTGCCTATCAAGAAAAGGAAAGAATCCAGAAATGGAGGGCTAACCTTAGGCAACATTACTAATACTTTACTTAATCTGCCTATCAAGAAAAGGAAAGAATCCAGAAATGGAGGGCTAACCTTAGGCAACATTACTAATACTTTACTTAAACTGCCTATCAAGAAAAGGAACGAATCCAGAAATGGAGGGCTAACCTTAGGCAACATGACAGTTTACTGATGGAGTGCAAAGTCCTATGGCTTACCTTCTCGTTGGTGCACTTCGTTAAGTGAGTTAGACAAGTATTATGTCTAATTTATGAACTAAATAGCCAAGGCAACAATTTAAATAACTTTATTGTTAAATAGATAACTAAAAACAGAAAAAATCATGACATCAATAGGGTGATGTCACCCCTTCTTTCTCAACTGAAAATATAAAATTGTATCTGGGAATTTTAGATATAGTTTAAAGTTAACAAATGTAAAAAATTGAGGCTTATTTATTTTTTTGTTCAAGGCACTTTACTCCCCCCCCCCCTCAATCTCTTCCTATCACTTATTTAAAAAAAAAAAAAGCTCTTCGCGCCGTCCGCGAACCCAGATTTGGCCACATAGTTACAAAATCCTGGATCCGCCCCTGTATATATATATATATATATATATATATATATATATATATATATATATATATATATATATATATATATATATATATATATATATATATTAGGGTGGTTTTTTTTTAAATGGAAAAAAATTTCTTTTCAAATTTTAAATTGCACAACCTCTTATTTGGTGAGGTCTGTTATAAAAAGTATATAGTTAAAGTTTTTTTGCAAATTGAAAATCGGAACCCTAAATTGACCAAAATTTGTATAAAAAATTAATCTTGTAATTCTATTTATATTTCATAAAAAATACTACAATAAGTTGATCTAAAAACAAATAATATAAAGTATTATAATGTTAAAACATAGAAGTTCACAGAAGACTGGAAAGTACAAGCAAAATTAGATTAACCCCCCTCAGCATTATTTACCCAAAATTGCTCCTAAATGCCTATTTTGATTTCAAAAACATTTTATTTGCTATAATTTCAAGTAAACTTTTTCTTAGTAAACTTTAGCTCAGAAATTAAATTTGTATAAATTTAATAATAGTGATGACATGGTTGGCCATTGTTGAGTGGGAAAGGGTTAGGAATGAATGAGAGGCAGGTGTATTATCTAAGACTTTTAATTTTTTATTTTGCTTTGAGCACTTTGTAATTGTTAAACTTCTGTTATATTCTTTCTATTATAGTAAAAAAGTATAAAAATATTACATAAGAAGATGGCTGCTTCAAACAAAGCAACACGCTCAAGTACAAATGTTTGGCTAGTCGGACATATTCTCTCAA